TGTCCCTTCTGTTATCTGACCCTGATTCCTCTCCCTCAGCTATATTCTTTCCTCCTCCAACTATCTGCTTCCTTTCTCCACCCTGCTGCTATGCCATGCATATCATATACCTGTATATGTAATAAATACAGTATTTGAGAGGAAACATGAGACAATTGTCTTACTTCATGTAGCACAATAAGCTGCACTTCCATCCATTTTCCTAAAAACTGCTATTCATGCACCATCTCCTTTACCATTCACCTGTTGCAGAACACTTTTGCTTTCTTCCATCACTTGACTGTTGTGACTAGCTCATCAATAAACATGGGTGTGCAAAAGTGTTTTTGTGATATGCTACTCACAATCCTTCAGGTATGTTATTATATAGAATAAATGTAGGAATAGCAAATGAATGCAATGAATGGTGGAGATAAAAGAAAATAATTAGATGTAAATTAAAATTTTTAAAAAGAAAAGAAAAATATTGTGAAGGGGAAAAGAGAAAGAGATGAAAAGACTGATGACTCAGTAATGAAAATACTTGTACACAGAACCAGATATCTTTTAGAAGAAGTATTAAAACAAAGCCTCAAAGTCGCTGTAGACTAATTGCCAGGACTTAATACAGAATGCTGCATGAAACCCTGGGTTCCTTCTTATAGATCTCTCTAGTCCTGGGATTACAGGCATGAGTTGTTTCTCTTTTAGACTTATTCATTGTCATGTATCCCTGTGTGGCCTTGAGATCCATCTGACTCTGTCTCCTGAGTACTTGGATTAAAATTGTTTTTGCTCTGCCCCTTTTCTCTTGCTGTCTAGTATGGCTGGTTTGCATTCTGATCTTTAGTGGATTTTTTAGATCATAAAGAACATATCACCACATTTTATTTCTCCAATGTCAAGTTCTAGGAAATGGGTTAGGTTTGCAGCATTCAAAATTGTGGGCAATGTCTCAGAGCACTTACAGTCTTAGATGAGTCAACATGAGTCTTAAATTCACAGTGAGCTTAGTGTTCTAAGCAACTGAACCCCAAATAATATAATAAGGGACATTCTCACTCTTACACTTCTCAAACTGTGTGCAAAAAATGTGATATAGGTATTGCTTCAAATCTATCCCTATACCACCCCCAACTACCAGCCGTTTCTTAGCATTCTACCACCTAGAAAATTCCGAGAAACTGTGTATCTGTTACCAAACACTTGCCTAGACTTCTGTAAGTTAATGATGGTTCAGCTATCTGGAATAATTTTGGTTTCACTTTTCTTTCTTATTAATATCCTTACAGAAGTCTCTCATATTCTCCTGCCTCAGCAGAAAGTATTTGTGAAATCTTCAGACCTCCCAGGAAATGGAGGGTAAAGTCCGGGTGCAGAAGGAATAAATCAGAGCATCCACATTCAGGACTGAAGAAGCCAAGTGCCTCCCCCCTAAGAGGATTTCTTCCCCAAGCAGAAGGATTTCTGCTCCAGGTGAGTCAGGGGAGCAGGGTGGGAAGGCTTCCAAGACACTGCTGTTCAGCTGTGGAATAACCGCTTCACAAGAGGCTGTTGTGCTCTGGATGTGGGTCAGCAGTGCACTTAGAATCCAGGATTTGCTGGGAGGAGAGAGGGTTTCTCTTCAATGCCACTGTTTCCACTCTGCTCAATAGACTCCAGTCAGCAGGGTCTGCTGAGGGCTCACTGCCTTTTCATGGACGCATCTTAAATCATCTTTGTGCCTAAAGTTTCTCACACAAACTCATCTACACCAGTGCTAGTTTGCACAGCTCTTGAAAAACGAAGCCGAGCAACTAGGAGCATGTAAAACAGACACGTTTCCCACTGACCACTCAGGAGATTATAAAGGTTTCTGTAACCACCTTTCCTGGTCCAATATTATTGCTTTTTCCCCATTTTATGGGGGTCACAACTCTAGTAAAAATCAGAACTCTCAGTACTCACGAGTTGGCCTAGCAGTTCAGAGGCTTCGCTGCTCCTCTAGCTGAATCAAGTATGGTTCTCAGCACCCAAGTAGGGCAGTTCACAACTGTTACAACTACAGCTCTGAATGATTTCACACATTCTTTGGCCTTCATAGTCACCCACAAGTGTTTGGTAAACACATACACACACAAACAAACACACACACACACACACACACACACACACACACACACACACACACACACACCTAAAAAGAATTATTATTGTGTGTTTAAATTAAACTGTCAGCTTCCGGGGTCCATTGTTCAGAGTCAAAAGTTCTGACACATAAACATGACTGGCCTCTTTGCCCTCTTTCCTGTAGGAGACAGGAAGAAGGACAAAGCAAGCCTGGATATCAGAAGAGCATCCAGAAGTGATAAATGCTATAGCAAATACAAACAACTATTGTCTTGGCTCTCTTGATGATAGCCCTTCTGACTAGATAAAATAGATTTTCAAATTTAATTTGCATTTCTATGATGGCTAAGGATATTGAACACTTTCAAATTATTTCTTGGCTATTTGTACTTCTTTTGAGAATTGACTGTTCAATTCATTGTCCCATTCATATATTCATAGTTTCCTTGGTGTTCTTCTTTACCTTTATTTTTTATAGTTCTTTAATTCTTAGATATTATGCTTTGAGGTACAGCTGACAAAGATGTTTCTCCCATCCTGTAAGCTGTGTGTTCACTCTGTTCCTGGTCTCTGTTTGTGTGCAGAATCTATTTAGTTTTGTGTTCATCTCATTTGAAATGTTTGTGGGCAATTACCACGCTTGTGGGATGCAATTCAGAAATGTTCTGACTATTCAGAAATGTTCCCCCAATGCTTTTTAACAAATTCAGCATTCCTGGTATTAAAGTTCAATTTTTGTTATTTTTTATGTTTATGTATATATGGTGTGTGTGTGTGTGTGTGTGTGTGAAAATCATAAAGTGGGCTTTGGATCTTTTGGAGCTGGAGGTACACATGATTTTGAGTTGCCTGACATCAATACTGTAGACTGAATTCCCAAACTCTGGATGGGTAAAGAGTATTTTTAACCCTAGGCCACTTATCCAGCTGGACCTTGGACTTTTTTTTGTCCAGTCATTCAGTCTGTGTCTTTCAATTTTCAGATCAAGACCCTTTGCTTTTAATGTCATATTTAAGAATTTTGGATGATTTTGTTTGCTACTTTGGTTCATGGGTTAATTCACAGGCCTTTTCTCCTCCCCATAGTGTTTGGTGTTAGGTGGTCAAAAAGTTGTCACTTGCCTTTGGCTCATTTGCTGCTTCCATGAAATGTATTCCTTCCTGTCTTCTCTTATGTGGAATTGTCTTTACTCTTTCCCTACCTTCTCCTCTTTCTCATCTCTTTAGTACTCTTTCAAGAATTTTCAGCTTTTGTAGCTTAGTTGCTGTGAATTCATGGGAAATGTTTTTTATTGTGAAATGGTCCTATTTTCCAACAATGTTGATGAAATATTGATTACTGTAGCACTGGTGGATGTCCATTATTTACTTTCAAGGCATTAAATACAATACATTCATTTTATGCTTTCTTGAATTTGAAATTGCTTAAGATCTGGTATCATTCTTATGTCTCTGTCACTTATACCAATTGAAGATTTTCCCTGGTATGTGGTTTTTCTGTTTCCACTTTAAAAATTATGTGAATCTCAGTAGCTCATCTTCATTTGGGTTATATTAAGGATAAAAGTTGATATCAGCACCAACTGTGAAGGTTTGATGAACGTCCATTGTTTATTGCAGGGAGAGACATTATGTTCACTATGCCTTTGACATCATGGATTTAAGAGAGCTGTGCAGGACCCTGATTGGGGAAGATGTAGTGTATTTAAGTAGTAAAGAGAACAGTGAATGGGCTAACAAATGGGAGTAATAGAGTGAGAATGAGTAAAAGCAATGGCTTTCATATATGAAAAACAGAGAGAGACTTTTGACATCACACTTTGAGGAAAGAAGGAAAGACACAAAATTTTTTTCCAAGGTACAAGTCACAACACATGCACACTGAGGGTGCAGAAGGTAATCAAGTTACAAAAAATAGTCCATGTCATTGAGTTGAGTTCTTCAAACCAACACAGCACTTTTACCTGTTTTATCATTTCTTGCAAACATAAGGCTACTGTTGAAATGGCTTCAGATATCAACATGCCAAGCCCAGTGTGCCTCATCGAGAACTCTAAACAGCAATTGGTACCCAACGAAGAAGCCCTGAAGATACTGTCCACTATCGATCAGCCTATGGTGGTGGTAGCAATAGTGGGCTTCTATCGCACAGGAAAATCCTACCTGATGAACAAGCTGGCTGGAAAGCAGAAGGGTGAGTGCCAACAGCAAAGCTCTGCTGAGTCTCCTGGGTCCACTTCCACTGTGAGCATCCAGCAGGCAGAGTGGAGTAGAAAAAGTCAGAGACACTGGTGGCATGGGATGGTCAGTGTCCACCAGTGGACTTGCTCTTTTCTGAATTAGTCTTCCCAGTCATTCCTCCCACACTCCCAGTGGGATGCTATTCAGAAATGTTCTGACTATTCTGAAATGTTCCCCAAATGCTTTTTTAACAAATTCAGCATTTCTGGTTCTAAATTCAATTTTTGTTATTTTTTATGTTTATGTATATCTGGTATGTGTGTGTGTGTGTGTGTGAAAATCATAAAGTGGGCTTTGGATCTTTTGGAGCTGGAGGTACACATGATTTTGAGTTGCCTGACATCAATACTGTAGACTGAATTCCCAAACTCTGGAAGAGTAAAGAGTATTCTTAACCCTAGGCCACTTATCCAGCTGGAACTTGGACCTTTTTTGTCTAGTCATTCAGTCTGTGTCTTTCAATTTTCAGATGAAGGCCCTTATCTTTTAAGATTATAGTTACTAATTTTGCATGGTTTTATTTGCTACTCTGGTTCATGGGTTAATTGACAGTGCTTTTCTCCCCCCCCCATTGTTTTGGGTCTTTGGTGGTTTAAAATGTTGTCACTTGTCTTTGGCTCATTTGCTGCTTCCATGAAATATATTCCTTCCTGTCTTCTCTTATGTGGAAATGTCTCTGGTCTTTCTCCACATTCTCCTCTTTCTTGTCTCTTATTCCTCCACTATAGTACTCTTTCAAGAACTTTCAGCTCTTGTATCTTAGTTGCTGTGAATTAGTGGAAAACGTTTTTTATCATGAAATCATCCTATTTCTAGTAATTCTAATGAAATATTGCTGATTGTAGCACTTGTGGCTTTCAAGGCAGTAAATACAATGTGTTCATTTCATGCTTCCTTGGATTTTGGAATTGCTTAAGATTTGGTATCATTGTGATGTCTCTGTCTCTTGTACCAATTGAAGGTTTTCTATGGTTTGTGGTTTTTCTGTTTCCACTTTAAAAATTATGTGAATCTCAGTAGCTCATCTTCACTTGGGTTATATTAAGGGTAAAAGTTGATATCAGCACCAACTGTGAAGGTTTGATAAATGTCCATTGTTTATTGCAGGAAGAGACATTATGTTCACTATGCCTTTGACATCATGGATTTAAGAGAGCCGTGCAGGACCCTGACTGGGGAAGATGTAGTGTATTTAAGTAGTAAAGAGAACAGTGAATGGGCTAACAAATGGGAGTAATAGAGTGAGAATGAGTAAAAGCAATGGCTTTCAGGTATGAAAAGCAGAGAGAGATGTTCTACATCACACTTTGAGAAAGAAGGAAAGACACAAACTTTTTCCCAAGGTACAAGTTACAACACATGCACACTGAGGGTGCAGAAGGTAATCAAGTTACAAAAAATAGTCCATGTCATTGAGTTGAGTTCTTCAAACCAACACAGCACTTTTACCTGTTTTATCATTTCTTGCAAACATAAGGCTACTGTTGAAATGGCCTCAGATATCAACATGCCAAGCCCAGTGTGCCTCATTGAGAACTCTAAAGGGCAATTGGTGGCCAACGAAGAAGCGCTGAAGATACTGTCCACTATCGATCAGCCCATGGTGGTGGTAGCAATAGCAGGCTTATACCACACAGGAAAATCCTACCTGATGAACAAGCTGGCTGGAAAGCAGAAGGGTGAGTGCCAACAGCAAAGCTCTGCTGAGTCTCCTGGGTCCACTTCCACTGTGAGCATCCAGCAGGCAGAGTGGAGTAGAAAAAGTCGGAGACACTGGTGGCAAGGGATGGTCAGTGTCCACCAGTGCACTTGCTCTTTTCTGAATTAGTCTTCCCAGTCATTCCTCCCACACTCCCATTACTTCCTCATTTAAAGGGATAAGTGGGTTTTAATAGAAGAAATGATGCATTCATAGAGAAAGTCAACTTACTTTATGATGAATTGTAAAGCTTATCTCCCAATCTCATCCCCACACTTCAGGCTTCTCTCTGGGATTCATGGCGCAGTCTCATACCAAGGGCATCTGGATGTGGTGTGTCCCTCATCCCCAGAAGCCAGGCCACACCCTAGTTCTGCTTGACACTGAAGGCCTGGAAGATGTACAGAAGGTAATTCAAATTCTACTCATGGTGCATCACTAGCCCACCATGTATCCTCAATTCTAATCTTTCATTTATGTTCCTGGTGAATCAAATTACTGTATCATTCTTCAACTCACCTGACACAGTAACCAAGAATAAACACAGAAGTCTACTCATTAGTAGCTAATCAGCCTCCATAATAATAACTGATAATACTTTTTTTGCTATTTTTCTTTTCCACTATCACACAACGCTAGGTGAGACTTTTAGTGGTGTCTCTAAAATTCACTATATATTTTTTGAACATGTCTGATTTTAAGTGTAAACCTGTGAAAATGCTAAGAACTGTAACTTCTATACAGCATTATCTGTGAGAGAAAAACAAGATTTGGTAGTGCTTTATTTCTGTGAACAGACACCATGATTTATTTTAAAAAGGTATTTAACTAACGGATTGCTTAAAGTTTCAGAGGCTAGTCCACTATCACCACGGCAGGGAGCATGGCAGCAGGAATAGCAGGCATGGTGCTGGAAGAGTAGTTGAGAGATACATCCTGATCCACAGGCAGCAGGAGAATGGAGAAACAGAGAGACAGAGAGAAAAGTGAGACAGAGACTGGCCCTGCGTTGGGCTTTTGAAAACACAAACCCCACCCCCATCCTCACCCCCATGACACAACTAGGATACATCTCTGAATCCATCCATGGTGATTACGTGTTTAAACTTACGAGCCTATGGAGGCCATGCTCTTAGAAACCACCACAATTTGCAATTACATCATTTTTCATGGAGGATCAGGTCACTACTCTTGCCAGTCTGAGACACACAAAACTCTATTAAAGGACCTAACTTTCAGTAGTGCTAAAATGTACCTGTTTTGAAAGAATATGCCCCTCCAAAGTGGGTGTCACTATTACAAGGTGTGGCTATGTTATTAGGTGTGGCCTTGTTAGATGAAATGTGTCACTGTCGAGGTGGGCTTGAGGTCTCATTTTTGCTCAAGCCTTGCCCATTGTCACAGACCACTTCCTGTTGCCAGGGTAAGATATAGAACTCTCAGCTACCTCCCTAGCACCAGGTCAGCCTGAATGTTGCCATGTCTTGCCATGATGATAATGGACTGAACTTGTGAACTCTAAGCCACCCAATTAAATGCTTTCTTTTATAAGAGTTTCAGTGGTCATGGTGTCTCCTCACAGCAATGGAAACCCTAACTAATACAGTCCCTTACCATAACATATTCTGTGAGTGAAACCCAGCAGCTCAGCTTAGATTTAGCCAATGATCAACGTGACGTTTAGTCTGAATGCTTTTTATGATCTCATCTACATGGGTATGCATCTTCTTATTTTAATCCTTAAACATTCTTAAAATCATTGTATAGGTAGAAAATGATTATGTAGAAGAAATTCCTTTTGATGTCACAGCTAATGGGGGACAGAAAAAGGCTCATCTTTGGCTACTTGAAATGATGGACAGTCTCTTAGTAACTCTTCTTCACTCTCTGACCTGCAGGGAGACAACCAGAATGACTGCTGGATCTTTACCTTGGCAGTTCTCCTCAGCAGCACCTTCATCTACAACAGCACAGGGACCATCAACCAGCAGGCCATGGACCAGCTGCAGTATCCTTTTGGTGTGGTCTAGAACAGTACTGAACCTTGGAATTACATCTTCATTACTTCATCAAATAGACAGACAAAGGACCTTAGTATTTCTAAGTTATTAACCAATCCCTTTATACTCATTATGTGAGTTTGCTTCAGTTTACACTACAAGGTCAAACCCCTTAAGTCATACATTGCCACCAACATAGAATATCCCGATCCAGCTCCATAAGCTGCAGTTGTCAAAACCTCAACATGATTTAGAACCCTTTTCTCAATAATCACTATTATCATTATGTGTAAGTGTTATTTATCTACTCATTACTCACAGAATTCTATAGGTAATATTTATCCTGCAAACTCATGAAGAGTTTTGAGATGATGATTGCGTTTTAGCTGTATTTCCAGCGTCAGTCTATGCTTCTCTAATCTGTAGCTCACAGTTACTTGTTCATTCTTTTGCCATCGGAAAGATGATCTCCTAGGAAGCGAAGGATTTCAAACCACATCACATTTCTTTGTAGTTTCTATGAGTTCCTAGCCCACACAGCCTAATTTTACTGAAGATTTTAATCCATACTGTTGGGAGACTGGTAAACAAGGGACACTTATTTTCACTATTCTCTCCCAGTTCTTTTTCCTCTTATCTTTCCCAATTACCTACCCATGTCATTATCAATGCTGCAAGAATTTCTATGAACTTTACATTGGGTATCATACTCTATTCTTTTTTGTATCAATATGTTCATTCAGAAGTCATATTATTTTATCTCTTAGGCACATTAAAAAATCATTTTTTTCTCTTCTGAACCACTTGGTTCTTACATGTAGAACTTCTGAATTTTCTAACATTATACTTTTTTTCTCTGGAAAACTGTTCATTGCCTTTGTGACTCTGAAATCCACAGCTCATTAGTTTCTGTACTACTTCTCTTCATTCTCCTCTCTTGGTCTCTATGCAATATCATTCTATCAAAAGGACTTCTGTGTACCTGTATTGCAGTCACCATCAAATATCCATTTACAACTGTGATTTAAATAAAATTTTTACACCTTCAAATTATTCAAAATTCACAAAAATATTTCCCAACCTTTCCTATTATACTTAATTCCCACATGTTTCACAACATTGCTCTGATTAAAACCTTAGACTAATCTTGACGTGTTCCTTCATACCCTAGAAGTATTAATTCATACATGTTTTAAACTCTATCAGCAAAGCTACTTGCCTAGACTGACCTCTGTATCTTCTCTCCATTGTCTCTAATCTACTTCCCTAGGCTGACCTCCTTATCTTCTCTCCATTGCCTCTTGTCTACACCTCCCTTGGTCTGTCTCAAAGACCAAGCTGTTCTTTCCCAACAGTCTTGACTGCCAGTTGGTGTTCCAGCAATGTTCTCTTTTGAAATATCATCATATCTTCCTCCTCTACATTCAAAATCCATTGCTAGCTTCCTATTTAGTAGGAAACAAGCTTGAAACTTCTTACTTTGGCCTTCAAAACTTGCATCCTGGCACATATTTCTTTAACAGTTGTACCATATATATACACCAGAGTTTATACATGTCAGATATACTCATGTTTTTTCAATCCAAGGTTTTTTTTTTGTTTTACTTTTCTGGAATGTTCTACCAGTAGAAGTTTCAAAGTTTTCAATGGTGGGTGTTTGTGCAAATTCAGGTGCCTGCTAAGACCAGAAGTTTCATATTTCCTGAAACTTGAATCTGAAAACTGAACATTGGTCCTCTGCAGGAACATTAAAGGCTCCTAAGCACTGAACCATCTCTCTGGCCTCACTGGAGCTTTCATAGATGACTTCTCTAATTCGTTTATTTTTCTACTATTCAAGGACTTCAGAAAACACATGAAGTTCTGAGTAACTTGGCATACATAGTTATTCTCTAGTCTTTAGATAATACCTGTTGCTACATCAAAATTGTATCAAACTTTGAAGATTTTAAAATATTTTATCTACATGTTTTTGTTTCTGTATTCATCTGTAATACAGATGATTCAATGTAAGCTCTATAATGGTAGCATCCTTTCATTTATTTTAAAAATTATTCCCTGAACTGTGCCTGATTTATATCAGGGGCTCTATAGATGTGTGTAAGTGATTAAATTCTGTCAATCAATGAGCTAATGTTCTAGTTTCTTTTTTTGTTGCTATGGTGAACATTATGACCCAAAGCAACTTGGAGATGAAAAGGTTTGTTTGGTTTACAGGTTAGACTCTAGTGTCAAGGGAAGCCAAGAGAGAAATCCAGAGACAGAGACTAGAGCAGATGCTAAGAAGGATCTCTGCTTACTGGGTTGCTTCTTGTGGCTTACTGGGCTACATTTTTTATACAACCAGGGACAACTAGTCTAGGGATGGCACCACACAGTGGGGACTTGGACTTCTTGCATCAATTAGTAATTGGGAAAATGTCCCCACAGACATATCTGTAGGCCTGACTGTTCAGGTATTTTCTTCCCATGTTATCTCCAGTTGTGTCAAGTTGACAAAAACAAACCAACACCGATAAAAACAAAAACAAGACATTAATTTGGGGAGGGAGTGGTAGAATATTTACCATGAAATAGTAAACTTGTTTTTTAAGTTTTCTTAATTTAACATCTCAGCTATGTGACAGAGCTGACTGATCTAATCAAATCAAAGTCATCACCTGAGCAGAGTGGGGTAGATGACTCAGCTAACTTTGTGGGTTTCTTTCCAACTTTTGTGTGGGCTCTGAGAGATTTCTCCCTGGAGCTGGAAGCTGATGGAAAACCCATCACTGCTGATGAGTACCTGGAATATGCTTTGACCCTGATGAAAGGTACCTGTGCTTGGTGGAATGTTCTGATACAAAGGGAAAACTATTCATAAATGTCATTTCTGGCACAGTTGACAATAGTCTCAATTTTGTAGCTGTATTATCCTGACAATTGTGGGATATGAAACAGAGCTTTGCTGAATTGTTTGGACTCCATGTGAAATTTCAAACTACTTTTTCTAACATAAAGTGTGTTTTCTTTCCTATTTATTTAAGTTTTTATCATTTTTTATATTAGGTGTTTTTCAGCTTACATAGGCTTTGTAGATATTATGGAATTGGAAATGTCATATATTGAAATAATACATTTGAAGTTTACTATATCTAATTTTCATTTTGCAGGATCTGATAAGAAAAGTGAAAGCTTTAACAAGCCTCGGCTCTGCATCAGGACATTCTTCCCAAAGAGGAAGTGCTTTGTCTTTGACAGGCCTGCTCAGAGAAAGTATCTTTCTAAACTAGAGACAATTAGTGAAGAAGATCTGAGTAGTGAATTTGTAGAACAAGTTGAAGAATTCACCTCATATATCTTCAGCTATTCCAATGTCAAGACTCTCTCTGGTGGCATCATAGTCAATGGACCACGTAGGTCATCCCCTGTACTTCCATTCTGGGCTTTTTGTCTGCTTATTGTAGGATATGTCATTGAAAATGTAACTGATGCATCACATGATGGAATTTACTTGGAAACTGAAGCTATTTCTCATCATTCAATTCTGTAATAGCCAAAGTTGGAAATAGAGAAATTAACTAAAATCTAATCCAACCCTAGAAGCCTTTTCCTGTCACTCATGGTGCCCACTTATAAAAAGGATAACTAAAAGTAAGAAAAAAATGAAAACAGCCTGTATGGAATTTGTCACTACAAATTTTTAAGTACAAACTTAATGTTTAGTAATGAGTATAAAGAGCCATTTTTTGGATTTAATGAGATATAAAGAGATATGGCTCCATTCTCATTCCAGCATAAATACCTCAGAGAAACACTTTAAAGAAAAAAAAACCCAAAAAGCATAGTGATAAATAATAGTTCAAAAAATTAATAATAAGAGAGGAGTGGCTAATGGGATTCAGAGTTCTAGGCAAGTGGGTCATAAATCCATGGGCACAGAGAACACATTGGTGTTTTTTAAGTTGAACAAGGTGAGAAGTTGAATTGAGTAGGATTTACCCACAAGGACAGAGTGTAATACCTGAGGAACTAGTGTAACAGAAGCAGGCCCCAAGCTGGACACAACTTTCCAACTTTAAGATAATTAGAGTCAGGTGACTGAGAAAAGAGAGTGAATAAGAGAGTTGAAAAGCTCATTGGAGAAGTGTGCAATGGTGATGTCCTGAAAAGATAGGAACATGGATTTACAGAAATAGCAGTTGGTTCTAAGCTGTATGAGGATTTAGCATGTAGAAATTCTGGAGGACAAGTTAAAGTTTTCTAGTTTACATGCATAACTGTCTTGAACATTCTGCATACAACATATTGTCATGCTATAAAAGGGCAGGGAAAATTTCTGGAGTGTGATGCTTTCAATGAATCAGCAAAGTTATGAGCAGAACTAGATGGTTAGCTCATCTACTTACAGCTTTGTGGGAGGAGCTGGGCTGGTAGCTTTTTATAGGATAGAGATACGACTAGAAAGATGCACCACCTTAAAAAGAAGCAACAACAAAACCAATATAAAAGCAAAACTGACATGTGCCTATTAAAAATCAATGAAGAATAAAACTGTAAATTAATGAGAGGAAGGAAATAGATTGGGAAGAGAGAGAAAGGGGAAATAAAGAAACACGAGTGGATACCTCAACTCCCCTCTCCCAATGCTGGAAGCCATTCAGTCATATATCCATCTTTGAACAAATGAAGGGGAATGAAAAAGAGGATTTAATGTTCTCTGAATCTTAAGATCAATAAATTACTAAGTTGCTATCCTATCTAGAGAATCCTGAAAGCTTTTGAATGCACTTTCTACCAAATGACAGCCATTTTCTTAACTTCTTTGATAGGTTTACAGAGCCTGGTGCTGGCCTATGTCAATGCCATTAGTAGTGGAGAACTACCCTGCATGGAGAATGCTGTCCTGACTTTGGCACAGATAGAGAACGCAGCTGCGGTGCAAAAGGCCATTGAGCACTATGAAGAACAGATGAACCAGAAGGTCCAGTTTCCTACAGAAACCTTCAAAGAGCTTCTGGACCTGCACAGACCCATTGAGAGTGAGGCCATTGAGGTCTTCATTAAGAAATCTTTTAAGGATATAGACCAAAAGTTCCAGAAGAAATTAGTGGTATGTGTGGTACTCAAAACCCTAACACAAAGGACATGGTTTTTTTCTGAGATGAAGATTGTCCTTACTTTCCAATACAGTGACACTCAGATTTGCAATGGCAATTGAAAGATTATATACAGCTGGAGTTAGAAAAAAAGCATGACACTTTAACTGGTCATGTTTTGCACACCCATGCACATGTGTACGTGTACACACATATACACATTTTCCATTTTTGTTATTTTCCCCACTCTGGAAACCATGTTTTCAGATACTGAGGAAATTAAAAACTGCATTCACAAAGTATTGTTTCATTAACATTTTCATAATGTAATATTTTTGTTCTTTGAGAATTTTAAATATAACATTTATTATATTATTCATTTCTATTTTTTTGTTTTTATTGCCAAGGAATTCCTTGCTTTTGTGATCTGCACTAGCAATGAGAAACTAATCTATTGCGTGCGCTCAAAGATGATCTGTGGTCCATAAGGCTAAGATTTCTTTATTCAGAGGAAGAGCAGCCCAAACGCAAGACAGAGCATGCCCAGAGTCCGCAAGCTAGCATGGCCAGAGAGAAGGGGCATCCACGTGTTTCTGACCTCTTACGAATTCTCTTTTCGTCATCTTTGAACTCCCCTGACCATGCCCTCATGGATGTGGCCAGGCACACCTGAAGGGGCTACTAGGAGGTGGGGCTACAATGTCTCCCTACACTAATCATAAGATGGTTTACAGATGTTTTGCCCTTTGATCAGTGGCAATGCTTTTCAGATTACCAAGGCTGGATTTTAAAAGGACATCTGGCTTCATACAGAAGTTCTGGGGAAACAAGACAATGTGAAGAAGTAGTCAATGTGAAGAAGACATTGACTACTCCCCAACCTAAATGAGATACAGAAGTTGATATTTAGTTACTTGCTTGATAAAAAGTAGATACCTCTTTTGTTATGCTTCCCATACATAGAATAGCTGAACATATCATCTTCAGTACTTTCATTGTCTGTACAGTGAGAAAATGCAGGGAAATATTCATGTGTTAAAGATCATTGCATAATCAATTTGCCTTTACTAGGTGTTTCTTTAGCATCACTGGGCTTAGTATTGTATTTGCTCCTACAGCCTGACAGGAAACCTCTGATATCAGTGGTGTTACACTCACCCTCATAGACAAGGAAACCTTAGTCCATTAATGACATGTTCATGATGTCACAAAAAAAGTGGGTCCAGCAATCAGCACAGGCTGGCCTATCTTTAATTTATAATCTGAAATATTCCTTCTATTAGTGACTTAGTAGATAGATGCTTCCCATGAAGCAGTGTCTGTGCTCTGGGATTATCTCTGAAGAAGAAGAATTGACAGCAAGGCCTCTAGGAAATCAAATTTGAAGTGTCAATTGGGGTAGCCAGCACCCTCCTCAGGGTATCTTGTATGTCACAGTGAGATGAAGAGCATGGCCCCATTTAGACATTTCCAAGCAGTTTGTTTTGTTGCCTCCATCCTCTCAACCATCTATGTGATTTTATCCTCACCCAGGAACAGCTGGTAGCGAAGCGAGATGCCTTTATTAAGAAAAACATGGATGTGTCATTAGCTCATTGCTCAGATTTGCTGAAAGATATCTTTGGATCTTTGGAAGAAGAAGTGAAACAGGGCACATTTTCTAAACCAGGAGGTTATTACCTCTTTCTTCAAAAGAAACGGGAGCTAGAGAAAAAGTATAACCAGACCACTGGAAAGGGGCTCCAGGTAAATTGAGTAGTTGGTACCATTTGAGGGTTCTTAGTGAGGAATCTCTTCCAAATGCCGGTGAGAACACAGAAGCTGCAATGGTGTTGGCAGAGAGTGCCCTAGTCTTTCATCTATCTAGGCAAAGAGCTAACCTCGAGACAGACAGCAGCTTTCTCCTTGGAAGTACAGCGGGACATCTCAGAAATGTTTATGGAATTTATGTATTCACTGAATACTTCAGGCAGCTAATTTTCTAAAATGATTTATTTGGCTTTGTGAGTTAGAGCCTTCTTAGGTTGCTAGAGAGAAAATGAGAAACAAAAAAAGAAAACTAATTAAAAGTATATTCATTCAAAGTATTTCAAGAATGAAGTAATTTATACCCATGAACAAATGATATTTATCTGTTCTTCCAGTGTTTCAGAACTTTATTCTCTTAATTCTCAGACCCTCACACAAGCCATACATTTTTAATGTGTCATAAAGAGAAACAGAACAGCAGGCATAGTGAATCAAAAGGCTCACTTAAGATCAAACAGTGAAGGATCTGGAACTCTTGAGTGCAGTGCTAGCCATCATCATCTGTATTTTTCATTTCTAGACTACTGTTTGCTGAAAATAGAGTTTAAGATTTGGTTTGACTTTGAGTTATTTACCAACAACAATCTCTTTAAATGGCTAAATATTTCTCCTTTTTCTCATGGACAACAAGTCGCCTGTGAAGAACCCAGTGCTGCTGTGGTGGCTTCACCAACTTCTTGTTCACAGGCATCTCCTTTGTTGTCCAGAATGTTAGTCTAGGGACTCCATCTTCAGGCTGCATTCATAATCTAAGACAGCTGCTGGCACATAATGCTTTCTTCAATTGTATGCCAAGGATCATAAAGGAGGTACAAAAGGACAAAAGGATGGTGCCTCAACTCCTTTTAAAATTTTAAGGCACTTTTCTGATTATATACCTTTCATAATAATTTACACCCATGTGCATTCCATACTTACAAGAGATTCTGTAATTTACTTTTGATAAACTTTGAGGAAAATATGAATAAACCATTCAAAGTAGTTAGACAGAAAGAAAAGTCGCTATGTAGAGGATGGGAATTTCAAACAACACATCCATAACAGTATATTAATGTGTATCTGTGGCATAGCAAGAGACCCGATGTTCTGGGAGACAGTGCACAATGCAGAGATTATCAAGAGAAAAGGAGATCATAATCCAGACAGGGAACATCTTATAGGACACTGGAAAATGTCTGATGATCATTTCTATAAGCTATAAAGTCATCTTTGAGCATTGGAATAATAGGACTGTTCTTAACATCACATTGCAAATTTCTCCTTAATCTGAGATAAAACTTCTGCAGTAGTCACTAAATAAGATCTGGGGCTGTGAGACTTGGATGAACAGATGGCAACTAAAGGCTGAGTTTACAGTTTCTGAGCTAAAACCAACATGATCAGCTCATGGTGTTATATTAGATATGTGAAAAAGAAAACCAAAGAGATCGAAGATACAAGTACTTCAAAAGGTTTACTAGATTCTAAAAGATGGGGCTATGGAAAGGCTTGGATTTGGGGAGGGCATCTCTAAGTCAGTCTTAGGTCCTTTAAATGTAGGAAACTATTTGAATCGCAACATAGTTTGTAACACTAATGTCAGTTAACAGGCTCATTGGCTTGTCTTTAACTTATTCTATACAACTAGGCAGAAGAGGCGCTGAAGAAGTACTTTGAGTCCAAGGACGATGTGGTGGAAACACTTCTAAAGACAGATCAGTCACTCATGGAGGCAGCAAAGGAGATTGAAGGTGAGAGATGCTGAGACTGCAGTGGTTGGAAGTTCCTGATGCATTTAGCAACACTGGTCCATTTGAAATCATCATTGCAGAGAAAGAATCACAAGTATCATTCATGGTGTTTTGTTTTTAAACTGGTATATATGTTTTTCTGCTTCTTTATCGATTGGCTATTTCCTATAAAAATCACCATAAAAAATTGTATCAAAGACATGAGAATTTTATAAAGGAGATAAAAAGCAAGAGTAACTCATAAAAATTAAATCTTTGCTTTTCCTCCTCAGTGGAACGTATAAAGGCTGAAGCTCTTGAAGCTACCAACAGAGCTTTAGCAGAGAAGCAAAACAAGTATGAGCTGCTGATGGCAGAGAAGGATAAGAGTTACCAGGAGCATATGAAACAGCTGTCTGAGAAGATGCATCAGGAAAGGGTACAGCTCATAGCTGAAAATGAAAAAATTATATCTCTCAAACTTCAGGTACTTGATCATATCATCTCAGCAAGTTCCTGTGTGCCAATCCAACATGAGTGTATCAGGCTGGGTGTTGGGGGTGCTCGCCTTTAATCCAAGCACTAAGGAGTCAGAGGCAGGTGGATCTCTGTGAGTTCCATGTCTGCCTGGTTTATAGAGTCAGTTCCTGGACAGGCTCCAAAGCAATACACAGAAACCCTGTATCGAAAAACAAGCAAATATCAAAAAAAGAAACAAACAAGAAAATAGCATATAAGGGTAGTGAAAATCAGCTTAGTTGCTAAGAGCATTTATTGTTCTTTCAGAGGACCCAGGTCTGCTTCTCATCACCCACACAGTGGCTTACAACTGTCCTCAATTCTAGTGCCCCTTCTGGCCTCTGCAGATACTGTATATATATGGTGCATTTACATACATTGCAAGTAAAACACTCATGCACTTAAAATAACACCAATAAATCTAAAAATAAAACAAGGAAACCAAAATGAATTTTGTCAGTAGGCTGAGACAGGAGGATGACTGGTCCCATTTGAGCCAGGGTTATGAAGTAAGACCTTCCCAGTAAAGACTCCTGCAATAATGTTAATAGTTCAGATATGCTGACACATTTTCCTTCCCTCACAACTTATCTCCAGCTGTGTCTAGTAGGAATTGTTTATGTCTAGATGAAATTTGTTATTAGGCTATCCACAGACAATGACTAGGAGTTACTCAGCACTGTTTATGTGTGTCCATTTTAACAACAGGGGAGTACTATCTTGTGCTGGATGTAGACATTGCAATTTTATCAGAATGCATGATACAATTTTCAGCCTAGTTTCTCCACTAAATAGACCCAGCATGGATTTCATTTTTGCCACAGCTAATATGGCCTTGTTTTTTGGAAGAATCCTAATGAATAGTGAGAATCCCTAACCATCTACTGACCCAAGCACATTGGTTAACTGCTCAAATTGTAGTACTCTCTGTTATTCATGCATTCCTCTGCATTGTTGTTTGTTGTACCAAGTCCCAAAGATACCCAGAGACCACCAGGAAGACAGACAGACACACTAAATTGTAAAAGCAAGGTTTTATTGTTCATACAAACATGGCAGGGACCCCATTTGGCCACCTGACACAGCAGCCTTCAGAGCGAGCAAGGTTCCCTGTCTACTGTTAGCTTTTAAAGACAAAAGTTACAGGATTACATTAGTAGCCATGGATTGATTTCTGTTTGGTTGACATTTGGGAACAATCAGGAGAATTTCTCAAAATCATATTTTGGCATAATACCTCTGTACCAATTATTCTCATTGGTCAGTGTTGAGAGGGGAACATTTTGTGGTTTCTATGGTTTTGTCTTGTTACTTGCAGGTGGCCTGTTGTACATAGATACCAATAGTTTTCAGAACTGTATACTGGAGACTATAGGGAGGTTTGGTTTCCCCTGGAGTTTCCTTTATGGCCAAACAGTTACCAAGATCCAAGTACCTAGGAGGCTATCTTGGGGGGGTGTGGTGGTTCTTTTTGTTCATTTTTGGCCCTAGACACAAGGATTCTAGAGGATCTGGAGTTTCCTTTGTGTCAGATGCCTACATGTCTTTTCTGATGCCTGTCATGGCTGCTAAAGCAGGGGCTGAGTGAGGGTCTGGTCCTTTCATTTCTAGATCATTACAAATGAAGTCTTTGAGTTTAGGATACACTTTTCACTCTGAGTCTGCATAGTAGGCCAAAATACCCTGTGAGAACCTCAGGCCACAGTTTCTTCAACATATTTCTGTCATCTAGCTCTGTCACTAAAAGTTTGGACTTGTGCTAAATTCCTTGATTGAACACCTGCCAATATTCTGAGTCCAGTAATAGCCTTCCACTTGGTTTGTACCCATCTTTCTTATCTTCTTAGGAGTGTTTGAGAATCCAAACCACAAAATCAGTGATGAGGCAAGAAAGAAGGAAGCTGGTGGTTTTATAGCAAAAATATATTTTACATAAGTCAAAAAAGCAGGAATTGTAAGTGAGAGTTGTGAGCCACTAGCGTTTCAGGAACTGTTAGACAACATTTCTAAAGCTGGAGGAACACAGGAAACTTATCAGCTTGCATAGGAAGCAGGAGAGAGGGCAGGGAGAGAGAGAATGGAAGTGAAGGAGGGAAAAGGCTTCAAGAAAAACAGCTAAGTTTCTCTGGGAATTAATGTAACAAACAAAGAAGAGCTTGTGAGACCCTCTAAGGAACATGGGAAACTGTCTGAGTTCAATCTCCATTTCCATTGTAGGAACAGGAGAGGCTTCTCAAGGAAGGATTCCAGAATGAGAGCAGGAAACTTCACCAAGAGATCGAGAGCATAAAAAAGAGCCAGTCATCTGGGAAATGTACCATACTCTGAAGTTCTGAGGTCTGACTCTGTTCACTGAGAACATTCTGCGTTTGATACAACTGTCATTAAATTACCTCAACTCAAGACAAATCATCTGTATCTCTAGTCTGTGGTCACTGTATGACACTGGACAGTGTCAGAGAAGTTTCCTCTCTTACAGAATGCATGTTTGAATGGAGGATCTGACTTCTGTGTTTTAGAAGTTCTTGACCTTCTCCATGCTCAGGACACCTATGTTTCTGCTTAATATCTTAAATTTTCCTATTTTCTACTGTGTAGTATCTACAATCACAGGGCAGGAAACTTTTAATTAGCTCTCAAAATGTATTCCTTTTCATTTCTTTTATTTTTCTTGGTTTTTCCAGACAGGGTTTCTCTGAGGCTTCAGTGGCTGTCATGGAAATAGCTCTTGTAGACCTGGCTGGTCTTGACCTCACAGGGATCCACCTGCTTCTGCCTCCTGAGTGCTAGGATTATAGGTGTGTGCCACCCCTGCCTGGGTTACTTTTCATTTCTTATGACTCTAATTTTTCAATACAGTCCTCCAAAAACTAAACCCCACCCCCTTTCCTTCTTTATCTCCCTGCTATAACATCCTGGCTTGAAGTTTCTCAGCATACTTATCTAGCACATGTTAATAAAAAGCATTAGCCCACTGTAATTGTTTCAGAATATGCATTTTATTTGTAGTTCATTAAGGAAATAAGAGAATCTTCTAATAAAATAAAGTTATTTTGTTTTTAATATTATTAGGTAGTATCCAGGCACTTTGGGGTACTAGGGTGCCTACTCTCTGTCTATTTCATTAAGAATAATGCCCCCACCCTAAGATAATGTTGAAGTCATGGGTCTCATCTGTCCCATGGAATTCAGAAAAAAACACCTTTCATGTGTACATATTTGGCTGGTGATCATATCAAACCCAGGGCTGTGACAAGGCACTTTGGTTAAATGATAACTCACAGAATAACATCAGTGGGTATAATGTTTTCTTGATATAGGTTTCAATGCAAGCTGGTACACTATGTATGTTTACAGAAATGGTTCAGTATCTACAGCTGGGGAAACAAGAACCTTGTCTGTGTCTGTGTTTGATCAAATGCAGGGGTTAGATAATGCAGGGGTTGCTCTACGGTAGGTAGAGCAACAGGAGAGTTGACAAGGCACAGGAAATGTGTGGGAAATAAAAACCTCAATTTGAGTTTATAAGTTGACTCACACATCAATGTTTTACTTTATTCAAAGTGTGTATTTATAGCACTTGTGATTGTAGTTCACTTGGTAGAGTGTTTAACTTGCATGACTGAGGCCCTAGGTTCAAGTGTTTCCCAAACCTGGTGAGGTGGCTCATGCCTGTTATCTCAGCATAGGGAGGGCAGATAGGAAGATCAGGTGTTTAAGGTCTTACTCTGCTACATAGTGAGTTCAAAATCAGCTTGGGCTAGAGACTTGTTTCAAGAAATAAACAAAACCCAATGTGTTTTATTGGTGAAATGATATAACTGCCTTGTATATTTGTTAAAACAATGTCCTTGTGGGTCCCCTGATCCATTTTGCAAATGAGAGGTGCTGATTAATAAAGCATCCTTTTGGGTCCCCTGATCCATTTTGCAAATGAGAGGTGCTGATTAATAAAGCATAACTTAGCCTTGCTGCTAAATTAATAAAATATCACACACAAACACACACACACAACATACACACACACACACACACACACACACACATACACACACGCACGCACGTGCACGCACATACACACATGCATGCACATACACACTATTGTACAGTGAAGGCTTGTCTAAATGGAGCTCCCCAACTTGCAGGGCCTGGTACCCAACCTCTAAATCAAATGTGTTTAGCCTTCCAATGCTAATCTGGAGGGAAGCTACCTCCATTCCATTTTCACATTCTTGGTAAATATTCTGTGCTATCTCCATTTCTTCTCCCTATGAAGAGTTGAATTTTAGATTGTTCACATCGCTAGATAAGACCTACCCACCTGCATCTACATAGCAGAACTTGAGTCATAAGTCTCTCCTTGGGCTACTCTGCGATGATAGTGGTCTCTCTCCTACTTTGGAATTGGAAACTCATTGGGAACTATAGCTCATTCTCATTACAGCTAATTAGGTACTCTAGGGAGATCCTCTTGAAGTATGCCTAGCATTCTATAATAGAAAGCCTCAGAATTATTTCCTTGTAGATCGCAGACAGCATATTAATATACCTCATGCCATCATTCAATATAGTTTGTATTATTTCATTGCATACTCAAATGCACTGTTAACATTCTTTCATTTATTCTTAGCTTTTTATCAATGATACTTAGCAAAGCCTTAAGACAATAACAAAATATATCTCTAACCCTATAATTACAAAATAATCTAGTTGGACACTTTTTTAAGAGTTATTTTTACTCCTCACCATAGCCCTTGTATAAATTTTATCATAGTATTCTGTATCTACTCCTGCGCAGGAAGAAAGCAACCTTGTTCTTTCTTAAAGTGTCGCTGTAACTTAATCAAATTATTATTTCCTATTCGTTTGCATTCAGTCTTCTTTTTTTTCCTCAGAATCCAAACAAAAAGAATCCACTTCCTCAAAATTGAGAATTTTCTCCAAAATTTATTTGGAAGTTCCCCCACTTCTTGCAACTTTTCTCCCAGTTGCCATTCATTCATATGGCTTGAGGGATTCCACTCTATAAGTAAATAGTGAGCAAAGTGAAATTATTTTATATACCTGCTGTATTTCCCCCAGACACACCAACTCTTTTTTTATGATAGCTTCAAGCTTTGTTCATGGAATGGGAGAAAGAAAAACTCCTCATATGATACACTGCTGATGTGGTATTGGTTTCCTCTGGGCGTGTTTTCAGTCCTTCAAGTCCATGGAGGACCTGAATTTTCTGAAGATGCCTAAGCTAGAACCTCCCCAGATAACCCTCTTACTGTGGTCCACTCTGACTCCCTCATACCCACTTTTCTACAATATACTCCACAAGACAGTGAGGACAGAGTTCCATGCCATGCTTTTCTCTTTGGAAGACCCAAGTTCAGAAAAATCCCAGTAGTCTTTCCAGGAAACAACTCATGTGTACATGCTTAGCTACACCTTGGAGGGAGTACGTCCTCAAATGTACCCATCACTCCTGTTTCATCACAACTCATTCCACCCAGTGTCTGGTGTTAGATGATTCAGAGCATGCTCATCTCACCAGTCCCAGCACCCACACATTCTAGACCATACTTGCCATCTTTGAACGGGGCTTCTAAAGCTCCCAGATCTACTTAGCTTGGAAAGAGAGTGAGGAAGCATAATGTTACATGCTCCCGTCAGGAGCTGAGGAGACAGAAGGGAGCATGGATACCAATGCACCTTCATATTTCTCTCCATGGAATCCTCCCTTTCCAATCTCCATCATGCTAGCAGATCCTCAATTGCCTATGTGGAAGGTTGTTTAACACAAAATGTTGCACAATTTCGTAGTTTTGTGCTTTTATGAAAGGAATAGTCACAGCTTCAAAGTTGAAGGATAGAGCCAGAGATATGTAGGACTGGAGAATTTAAGCCTATGTTTGAAGGGCAATAGGCCCAAATTAAACCCAATTTTCTATCGTCTCTGAACTTGGGTTGATCATGTGGACTAAATGTAAGGAATCTTGGACATGAACTGGTATGAACTGGTATGAAAAGCCAGTATAACCCTTTAAACTATATTCACCATGAAATGAGGATGACCAACTCATATTGGAAAAATTGAATGTACTTATCATAATGTCTGTCATATAAGTTTTAAATATAACATTCTTCTATCAGGCAGATACTTCACATTATGTTCATTTTAAAATTACAATTATTATCACATATTAATTTTACAAATGACTAGAATCCACTGTGATACTTTTGTAAATGCTTACATTGTTTATTGATCACATTACCTACTTTCCATGGTGTTTCCTCAATAGTCTCTCCCCACTTTTGGCAGTCTTGTTCAGATTTCCTTATATTCTTATTTTCTATTTTAGCCCATCTTTGCTTGTTTTCATAGGAGGGAAACATCCATTTCTGGTCTTTCTGTTTCAGGGATGCATTACTTAGCGTGATATCCTACAATAATATCTATACTAATGAAAATTACAGGATTTCATTCTTCTTTATGGCAGAACCTACTTCATTGCACACATACCCTCACAAACACACACACACACACACACACACCCCCACACACACACACACACACTTATTTGTTTATCCATTGTTGGCAGGCCTATGATTCCATTTCTTGGCTTTTTAACTATTGCCAAAATGTACATGGCTCTATAGGTGTCTCTTTTATTCGCTTATTTCCTCCAGACACATACCAGGTGTTCCCCAGTTTCCATAGATAATGTTCCATAGTTTCCATAGGCTTCCTTCAACTTTGTCTCTGCCTGGGTGTAATGATTAATATTGTTTGTCAACTTGGCAAGTTCTAGAATCAGCTAGGAGGCTACCCTCTGGGCAAGTCTGTGAAAGAATTTCAAGACTGTCTAATTGAGTTGTTTAGGGGAACCTGTATCCATGCCTGCTTAGGGGCTAGCTACAGGTCTGCCTGACCATGCCTGTGAAGGCGTGATTAGGGTGACCTAGATTAAAAGTTTGAGGGGGATGGGTTTCAGCCTATTGGCTCTCTGCTACCTGGAATGCCATTGCCTTCCTTGATACCGAAGGGATGGCCTATTACAATTATTGATCTAAAAGACTTTTTTCACAATACTGTTACAGGAAAATGATAGAGAAAAATTTGCATTTACTGTACCAACTCTTAATAATTCACAGCCAGTTAGGAGATATCAGTGGAGAGTTTTGCCACAAGAAATGCTAAATAGTCCTACTTTGTGTCAACACTTTGTACAGCAACCTTTGGAAATAGTTCATAAAAATTTTTCACAATCTCTTGTTTATCATTACATGGGTGAAATTCTTTTATCACATTCCAATAAAGAAACTTTGGAACGTATGTTTGAAATGGTGAAGGATGTTCTGCCTCGTTGGGGATTACAGCAGATTGCCACAGAAAAGATACAAAGAGGAGATTCTATTAACTATTTAGGTTACAAGATAGACTTACAAAGAACCAGCCTTCAAAAGGTACAAATTAGGAGAGATCATTATCAAACTCTTAATTCTCTTCAGAAATTACTAGGGGAAATTTCTCAACTACAGACGATTATTGGTGTAGAAAGACATATCTTAAAGCATTAAAAATGGCTCTTAAATGTGATAAGGACCTAAACGGTCCGAGAATATTATCTGCTGAGGCAGAAAAAGAGTTACAATGGG